TGCCGCTCGGCCCGGCCCGCGATCCCGAAGGCAGCGAGACAGCCGGGGCCGGCAACGGAACGCGGCCGTAACCAGGGCAGCCCAAAGACCAGGCTCAACCCAGGAAGACAGAGCCTAATCTCTCAGCAGGAGAAATCACACAGGCATAGGCCGATGGTGACAGCACGGGCAATAAAATCAGCACTCTCGGCTCCATCTCCCCACTCAGGAACTGTACTCACCCCACGCTGCTTCAGACTGGGACACAGTGCGAAAGTAACTGGTAGAATTTTGAAAAGCCTTGAAGCATCTTTCCAGGAAAGAACATCTCTAAAAAGACTTCTGTCTCTAAAAAAGGAGTCAGGGTGCTCTCTTTATTTCAGTCTTGCATTTGTTTTCAGTTTTCATCTCACTATTATAACTATTTACAAAGTTAAACTGCCTAAGTACAAAACATCACAGCGTGAGGGAGTTTTTCAGGGTATTTAATGCATAGCAGACATCATTCAAACAACCTGTTGTTCAGAATGGGGGGCAGTCCTTCTCTACAGAAATCGTCCCAGTACAAAGCTCTTTTACATTTCAGAGGAGACAGGATAAACATGGCAATGCAGATGCTCTGAGACAAACACAGAAAATCATGCGGGGATAGCTTTTCAGTCCCATCAAGAAGTCTTGGGATTCAGGAACAGCAGTGAAAAGATCAACCTCAAGGTCTATTTTTAAGTTCTTCTTTTCATTCCAATAATTGTCCTTCAGTGTTTGTGGAGTTTTCTTTTAATGCATTCAATGACAATGAACACGTTTCTTCACCTCTGTTCAGGTACAGTCTACTCTGACAATGTTTGTGCTCCTGTGTTTCCAAGGCTATCCTGAGGTGACAGAACACCAGAGAACCACTGGTAAGCCCAGGGGAGATTTTGTTGAGCATTTTGCAGCTCTTCTCTGAGCTAGATGGGGAAGATGAGACTCCTGTTGTGAAAGGGTCCAAATCGCCTTGTTCCTTGCTCAGCTGGGACTGCTGTGTTGCAGTGGCTGGGTGGGAGCAACTCCCTGCTTACCAGACAGCACTACTGAAGCATTTGCTGGTACTCTGTGTCTGCATTGACAAACATAGGGACAAGAAAGCAAAGCACACCGAGCTGACATCTCAGACAGAGACATCCAGAATCCAGGGAAGAAAGGGCCTAGTGCTCATGTGACATAATGATTCAGTAGTCATGAATTCTTGCTTTCCTGAAGCACAAAAAGGCCTTTTTGCATTTCGGTGATCGTGTTATTTGTACGGCACCCAGTGACATTTTATCAAGCTCAGAATAAAAAGTTCCTCTGTTTTGTCAGACAGGAACACAAAAAAAAGCATAGCTGTAAGTGCTAACTACACATTCAAAGCTTGTAAGAAATGGCAAATAAACAGCTGAAACACATTACTAACTAGGTGAGAGAACCCTAGCTTTTAAGCCTTCTTTCTTTGCTCCTTTGAATGCCAGGTATTTATTTGTAATACAATTTGTAGGAAATTCGTCACACCAATTACAAATACAGATATACTCAGGAGGAAACACTGCAACATGCAGCAGCCTGGATCCCATCCTCTCAAGATCCATGAAGCCTCAGTCTGTGCAGACCCCAGCTAGTCAAAGGAAAGAGCTTTGAACTGTCCTGCAGAGAGAGTGCCAGCATTGTCTGGGGCCATGTCCTCGCTGCTGACAGGGACACCGGGGAAATCCTGTTCCTCATCGGGGCCCTGGCCCACGGCGCAGTGCTGTGGGGGCAGGCTGGGCAGGATGGGCTTGAGGAATCTGAATTCGCTGTTGCCCGAGCCCGTGGTGAGGCTGATCTCGTAGCAATAGGCACGGGGCAGGGTCCCTGCAGCGGCCGCATCGGCCAGGCCGCTCTGCAAGGTGTCGGCAGCATAGAGCACATGGCCAGCCTTCAGCTCCTTCCTCCTGCACACCTTGCGAGCCAGCAGCACTGCCGAGGAGATGAGGAAGAGGAGGGAGACAAAGACCAAGGCAATGATTAAATAGGTGGTCAGGGAGGCAGCGGCCTGATCCTGGCTGGCCGGGCTGCTGTGCGGCAGGCGCACGTCGGAGAAGTCCTTGAGCAGGAGAGCGCTGAGAGCTGCCGTGGCTGACAGCGGGGGCTTGCCGTTGTCTCTGACCAGCACCACCAGCTTGTGCTTGACGCTGTCTCTCTCTGTCACCGGCCTCCTGAGACGCACCTCGCCGCTTTGCAGGCCCACGGAAAACAGGCCTGGGTCGGTGGCCCTGAGCAGGTGGTAGGAGAGCCACGAGTTCTGTCCCGAATCGGCATCGACGGCTACCACTTTGCTGATGAGGTAGCCCGCCTCAGCCGACACGGGCACCAGCTCACTGGAGGCCGGGCCGCTCTCCTGGGCCGGGTAGAGCACGAGCGGGGCGTTGTCGTTCTCGTCCAGCACCACCAGGCGCACGGTGACGTTGGCTCTCAGCGGAGGAGAGCCCGCGTCAGAGGCACTGACCGTCACCTCGGTCTGCCTCAAGCGCTCGTAGTCCAGGGGCCGCAGCACAAACACGTGTCCCTTCTCCGAGTTCACCGAGATGCACGAGCACCACGCCCGCTCTGGCCCTTGCTCTGCTGCCAGGGAATAGGTCACCTTGGCATTCAGCCCCACGTCAGCATCTGCAGCGCTCACGGCTCCCACAAACACCGCGGGCACGTTGTTCTCACGCACGTACATGGTGTAGGAGGTCTGGTCGAAGACGGGGGCATTGTCATTGACGTCGGAGATGTCCACGGTGAAGGTGTGCGTGCTGGTGAGAGGAGGCGAGCCCGCATCTGCTGCCGTCACACTGAGGATGTACTGAGGCGTCTCCTCGCGGTCCAGCGCGCTCACCGTCACCAGCTCATAGTAATTCTTGTAGGCTGGCCGCAGGGAGAAGAAGAGCTGATCGTGCAGGGCACAGGAGATCTTCCCGTTGGCACCAGAATCCCGGTCCCTGACCGTAAACAGGGCAACCACCGTGCCGGGCACTGTGTTCTCGGGGAGGGGACTGCTGAAGGAACTGACCACCAGCTCTGGGGCATTGTCATTCACATCCACCACCTCCACCAACACCTTGCAGATTGCTGAAAGGCCTCCACCATCTCTGGCCCTCACAATCAGCTCATGCAATTGTGCTGCTTCATAGTCCAAGGTTTTTGTGAGTTTAATTTCACCAGTTATGGGATCAATCACAAATGCAGAATCGCTCTGACGCACTGCTTCATTGAGTTGATAGGAGATGTCCCCATTAACTCCTGCATCCGGATCAGTTGCCCGTACAGTCAGAACCACAGAGCCCTCTGGCATGTTCTCCAAAACCTTTCCAACGTACTCCTCATGAGTGAATATCGGAGCATTGTCATTTACATCTAGAATGATAATAGAGATCTCGATGGTTCCACTCCTGGGAGGAAAGCCCCCATCTACAGCAACCACACTGAAACTGATTTCTGCCTGCTCCTCTCTGTCTAGTGACTTTTCCAAAACAAGTTCAAGAGACTTCTTGCCTTTAATGCTACTCCCGTAGGAGACAGTGAAATACTCGTTCTTGGGAGACATATTGTACCTCTGGACTGTGTTGATGCCAATATCGAGGTCCCGAGCCACCTCGAGTGGAAAACGAGAACCTGGTTCGCTCGTTTCCAAGACCCCAAAACTGACTCGATCTTCTCGAAAAACTGGTGAATGATCATTGATATCGTCCAGAGTGACCTCGACCCGAAAGAACTGCAGGGGGTCGGAGAGCAGCAGCTCGAAGGGGAGCATGCAGGTGTCGGACTGGGCGCACAGCTGCTCCCGGTCCAGCCTCCCCGCCACGACGAGGCGGCCGGAGGCGCGCTCCAAGCGAAAATGCTGGCGGCCGTCCTCCGAGAGCAGGCGGGCGCGGCGAGCCGAGAGCTGCGCCGGCGTCAGCCCCGCGTCCTCGGCCAGCTCGCCCACCACGGAGCCGCTTTCCGCCTCCTCGGCTACGGAGTAGCGGATGGGCTCGGCGCCAGCGAGCGGCAGCCCCAGCAAAGCACACACACAAAGCACTTGCCTTGCGAACGCCATGGCGCGGCGCCGGCGCCGGCGGCCGCTGTCGGTGTCGGTGTGGCGGCGGGTGTCCCGGGCGATTGCGGGCGGAGAGCGGCGAAGTGCGGGCCGGGCGCCTTCCCTCGCTCTCTCAGATTCCGGCCGGCGCTCCGTAAGGCAGCCGGGGTGTGCCGGCAGCGGGTGACACGGGGCAGCGCTCGCTGCCGCAGCCGCTGCCACCTCCGCCCGCCTGAGCTGGGCTGCTCTAAGCTGAACTGAGCTGATCTGGGCTGGTCTGGTTGTGGTCTGAGCTCGCTCGGACTGTGCTGCTCGGGCCCGGCCGCCTCCGCTGCCGCAGCCGCTCGGCGCCGCCTTGGCCGAGGGCACCACCCAGCGGTGCGCGCTGGGACTGCAGCCGCCGCCGCCCGCAGCCCGCGCTGCCGCTCGGCCCGGCCCGCGATCCCGAAGGCAGCGAGACAGCCGGGGCCGGCAACGGAACGCGGCCTCAACCAGGACAGCCCAAAGACCAGGCTCAACCCAGGAAGGCAGAGCCTCGGCCCTCAGCAGGAGAATTCGCACAGTGAGAGAGCCATGGTGACAGTATCGGCCTGCTAATGAGCACTGCACTGGCTGCATCTCCACACCCAGGCGCTGAACCCACCCTTCACTGCATCACACAGAGGATACAGTGAAACAGTACTCGCATAATTTTGAAAAGTCTTGTCAGGGCTTTCCCAGAAGGAACATATCTACAAAAATTCTGTCTCCCCAACGTAGTGATGTTGTTCACTTTATTTCAGTCTAACTCTATTTTTCAGTTTCTAACCCCAGTGTTATACCAATTTACAACACTTGAACTGTATCACTTCAGCACATAAAATCCTGAGGGAGGCTTTCTGAGTATTTCATGCATCATAGACATCAATCAAACAAGAGTTATTCTATATAGCGTGGTAGTCTTTCTCTAGAGGAACAGGCTCAGTACAGTGCTCAGTACATTTCAGAGCAGAAAGTGCAAATGTGGGAATGTAAATGCTCTGATACAAACACAGAAAATCATATGGGGACAGCTTTCTAGTGCCATCAAGAAGCCTTGGGATTCAGGAACAACAATGAAAAGACTAAACTCAATATCTTTTCTTTTGAAGCTCTTCTTCACTCTGTCTTACATAAATTGTGATTTAGTATATGTGAATTTTTTCTTCAATGCAGCATTTGACTATGAATATGTCTCTACAATTCTGTTCAGTTACAGTCTACTCTAACACTGTTTGTGCTCCTGTAATTCCAAGGCAATTCTGAAGTGACAGAACATCCTGGGCCTTCTTGTATGCCAAAAGAAACTTTTTGTGCGTTTTGCTGCTCTGCTCTAAACTAGATAAGGAAGATGAGACTGCTGTTGTGAAAGGGTCCAAATCACCTCCTTCCCTGCTGAGCTGGCATTGCCTGTGTTGCAGTGGCTGGGTGGGAGCAACTCCCTGGTTCACCAGACAGCACTACTGAAGCATCTGTAGATATTCAGTGTCTGCATGGACAAAGATAGTGTCAAGAAAGCAAAGCACACAGAGCTCACATCTCAGACAGAGACACCCAGAATCCAGGGAAGAAAGGGCCTAGCCCTCATTTGACATTGTGACCCAGAACTCAAATCTTCCTGGTTTTCCAGATGTGGGAAATTCTTTTTTGGATATCAGTGAGGATATGATTTGTTTGGTGAATGGAGATACTGCCTTAAAGATCAGAATAAAAAGATCCTCAGTCTTGTTAGACAGCAGGAGAATGCAGATCATAGATTGAGAACGAACCACATACATCAGCTTCTTAGAAAAGGCAGTAGCAAAGGTGAAACACGTTAAAAACAAAGCAAGATAACCTTGGCTTATTTTATTTCCATTCAATGCTTTTTCAGTATCAGACATTGATTTCAAAGAGAATTTGCAAGAAGCTGGGCAAACCAATGAAAAATGCAAATTTCTATAAAGACAGCATTGTCACACACTGTGGTCCAGGTCCCGTTCTCCGAAGTGCAATGAAGACTCTGACTGTCATACCGCCGCTAGTCAAAGGAAAGAGCGTTGAACTGTCCTGCAGAGAGAGTGCCAGCATTGTCTGGGGCCATGTCCTTGCTGCTGACAGGGACACCGGGGAAATCCTGTTCCTCATCGGGGCCCTGGCCCACGGCGCAGTGCTGTGGGGGCAGGCTGGGCAGGATGGGCTTGAGGAATCTGAACTCGCTGTTGCCCGAGCCCGTGGTGAGGCTGATCTCGTAGCAATAGGCGCGGGGCAGGGTCCCTGCAGCGGCCGCATCTGCCAGGCCGCTCTGCAAGGTGTCGGCAGCATAGAGCACATGGCCAGCCTTCAGCTCCTTCCTCCTGCACACCTTGCGAGCCAGCAGCACTGCCGTGGAGATGAGGAAGAGGAGGGAGACAAAGACCAAGGCAATGATTAAATAGGTGGTCAGGGAGGCAGCGGCCTGATCCTGGCTGGCCGGGCTGCTGTGCAGCAGGCGCACGTCGGAGAAGTCCTTGAGCAGGAGAGCGCTGAGAGCTGCCGTGGCTGACAGCGGGGGCTTGCCGTTGTCTCTGACCAGCACCACCAGCTTGTGCTTGACGCTGTCTCTCTCTGTCACCGGCCTCCTGAGACGCACCTCGCCGCTTTGCAGGCCCACGGAAAACAGGCCTGGGTCGGTGGCCCTGAGCAGGTGGTAGGAGAGCCACGAGTTCTGTCCCGAATCGGCATCGACGGCTACCACTTTGCTGATGAGGTAGCCCGCCTCAGCCGACACGGGCACCAGCTCACTGGAGGCCGGGCCGCTCTCCTGGGCCGGGTAGAGCACGAGCGGGGCGTTGTCGTTCTCGTCCAGCACCACCAGGCGCACGGTGACGTTGGCTCTCAGCGGAGGAGAGCCCGCGTCAGAGGCACTGACCGTCACCTCGGTCTGCCTCAAGCGCTCGTAGTCCAGGGGCCGCAGCACAAACACGTGTCCCTTCTCCGAGTTCACCGAGATGCACGAGCACCAGGCCTGCTCTGGCCCTTGCTCTGCTGCCAGGGAATAGGTCACCTTGGCATTCAGCCCCACGTCAGCATCTGCAGCGCTCACGGCTCCCACAAACACCGCGGGCACGTTGTTCTCACGCACGTACATGGTGTAGGAGGTCTGGTCGAAGACGGGGGCATTGTCATTGACGTCGGAGATGTCCACGGTGAAGGTGTGCGTGCTGGTGAGAGGAGGCGAGCCCGCATCTGCTGCCGTCACACTGAGGATGTACTGAGGCGTCTCCTCGCGGTCCAGCGCGCTCACCGTCACCAGCTCATAGTAATTCTTGTAGGCTGGCCGCAGGGAGAAGAAGAGCTGATCCTGCAGGGCACAGGAGATCTTCCCGTTGGCACCAGAATCCCGGTCCCTGACCGTAAACAGGGCAACCACCGTGCCGGGCACTGTGTTCTCGGGGAGGGGACTGCTGAAGGAACTGACCACCAGCTCTGGGGCATTGTCATTCACATCCACCACCTCCACCAACACCTTGCAAATTGCTGAAAGGCCTCCACCATCTGTTGCCCTCACACGGATTTCATGATGCTGTGTTGCCTCAAAGTCCAGAGTTTTTGTGATTTTAATTTCACCAGTTATGGAATCAATCACAAACCCTGACTTGCTTTGTCCCACTGTTTGGCTGAGTTGATAGGAAACGTCCCCATTAACTCCTGCATCTGGATCAGTTGCCAGCACAGTCAGCACCACTGAGCCTTCTGGCATGTTTTCTAAAACCTTCCCAGTGTAACGCTCTTGTGTGAATAGGGGAGCATTGTCATTCACGTCTAGAACGATAATAGAGATCTCGATGGTCCCACTCCTTGGAGGAGTGCCCCCGTCCATTGCAATAACACTGAAACCCATCTCTGCCTGCTCCTCTCTGTCTAGTGCCTTTTCCAAAACAAGTTCAAGGTATTTGTCATCATTAGTCCCACTTCCATAGGAGACACTGAAATACTCATTCTCGGGAGAGATGCTGTACTCCTGGACTGTGTTGCGGCCAATATCTAGGTCCTGAGCAGCCTCCAGTGGGAAACGAGAGCCCGGGTCGCTCCTCTCCACGATCTTAAAACTGACTCGTTCCTCGGGGAAAATTGGGGAATGGTCATTGATATCCTGCAAGGTTACCTCGACCCGAAAGAACTGCAGAGGATTGGAGAGCAGCAGCTCGAAGGGGAGCATGCAGGTGTCGGAGTGGGCGCACAGCTGCTCCCGGTCCAGCCTCCCCGCCACGACGAGGCGGCCGGAGGCGCGCTCCAAGCGAAAATGCTGGCGGCCGTCCTCCGAGACCAGGCGAGCGCGGCGAGCCGAGAGCTGCGCCGGCGTCAGCCCCGCGTCCTCGGCCAGCTCGCCCACCAGGGAGCCGCTTTCCGCCTCCTCGGCTACGGAGTAGCGGATGGGCTCGGCGCCAGCGAGCGGCAGCCCCAGCAAAGCACACACACAAAGCACTTGCCTTGCGAGCGCCATGGCGCGGCGCCGGCGCCGGCGGCCGCTGTCGGTGTCGGTGTCGGTGTGGCGGCGGGTGTCCCGGGCGATTGCGGGCGGAGAGCGGCGAAGTGCGGGCCGGGCGCCTTCCCTCGCTCTCTCAGATTCCGGCCGGCGCTCCGTAAGGCAGCCGGGGTGTGCCGGCAGCGGGTGACACGGGGCAGCGCTCGCTGCCGCAGCCGCTGCCACCTCTGCCCGCCTGAGCTGGGCTGGTCTGAGCTGAAGTTAGCTGTGCTGATCTGGGCTGTGCTGGTCTGGTTGTGGTCTGAGCTCGCTCGGGCTGTGCCGCTCGGGCCCGGCCGCCTCCGCTGCCGCAGCCGCTCGGCGCCGCCTTGGCCGAGGGCACCACCCAGCGGTGCGCGCTGGGACTGCAGCCGCCGCCGCCTGCAGCCCGCTCTGCCGCTCGGCCGGGCCCGCGATCCGGAACCCGCGGCGGGGGCTCCTGCGGCAGGATGCCCTCACATTCTCCGGGGAGAGAAGTTTTAGGGAGTGGTGGGGTGTATCCCTGCCACAGTTTCTACGCTGGAGCATCCACGGCCGCTCCTCCACTTCCAGTCTCCTCCCCTCGCTCGCCCGATTTCGCGGGCTGGTGCGCTCTTCTTAAGAGATAGGCACGTCCGCGGCTTTCGAGAAAAGCGGAGGGAAGATAGGCACTACGATTTTCCATGGCGGTGTGAGACAGAGGCTGAACTCGGAGGGACAGAGCCGCCTTCTGCGGCCGGAGAAACGGGCCAGGAGCCTAAGCAGGGAGATTACACCTATAACAGCAGGGAACGGCCCTACTGCTACTGGGGAATCTCAGGCTGTGGACGGGGAAGGGAGGCGCGTCTCAGCACGGCTCAGGCATGAACACGCACGCCTACTGGTCGATCTTTCGGCTAAAAGGGAGGAGTGACTGTGCTCCCTGCCTGGGCTTCCCGGTCGCAGGCGGGCTGCGAGTGGTGTAGCGGTTCCTGGTCTTTGTCCCGTCTCGCCTCAGCATTGCTATGAAGGCTGGGCAGGATGGGCCTCAGGAACTGGAATTCGCTCCTCCCCGAGCCGCTGGTCAGACACATTTCGTAGCGGTAAGCCGGCGACAGAGTTCCCGCGCTGCCCACGCCCACACCTTCGCTGGCGACGTCTCCGTCCGCGTAGCAGCTGGGAGAGGGAGGAGGAAGTTCTGCCCGGACGCGCGCTCTGCAGAGTGCGTTCGCTGTTAAGGCGAGGACGGACAAGAGGAAAAGGGACGAGACGCAGCACAGGGAGGCGATGAGGTAAGTGGTGAGCATTTCCTCCTCGGCCACCTGCGGCTGCTGTCCGCCTGCGGGATCGTGGCCAAGCTGATGGAAAGCATCTGAGAAATCGTCCACCAGTGCCACGGCGAGGGTGGCGGTGGCAGAGCGCGGCGGCCTCCCGCGGTCCCGCACCAGCACGATGAGCCTCTGCCGGGCCGCGTCCCGCTCGGTCACGGCCCGCGCCGTGCGCACCTCGCCGCTGTGCAGCCCCACGCGGAACAGCCCCGGCTCCGTGGCCTTGGCCAGCTCGTAGGACAGCCACGCGTTCTGCCCCGCGTCCGCGTCCACCGCCACCACCTTGGCCACCAGGTAGCCGGACGGTGCCCAGCGCGGCACCAGCTCTCCGGCCGCGCTGCTGTCGGGGCCCGGGTGCAGCAGCACGGGCGCGTTGTCGTTCTCATCCCGCACGACTATGCGCAGCACGGCCTGGGCGCTGAGCGGCGGGGAGCCGCCGTCGGCTGCGGTCACTGTCACCTCGAAGGCAGGAACCTTCTCGTAGTCCAGTGGGCGCAAAGTCCGGACGGTTCCACTCTCCGCGTCCACTGACACGAATGATGCGGCGGCGAGGGTGCCCGTCGGTGGCGGCACTAGCGAGTATCTCACGCGGGCGTTCTCCCCCGCGTCAGGGTCCGTGGCACTGAGGCGGCCCAGGCTCCTCCCCGCGGGCTCGTTTTCGCTCATCACCATGGTGTAAATGGCCTGGGTGAAGGTGGGTGCATTGTCGTTCACATCAAAGAGCCTCACGAGCAGGGTTTTGGACGTCGAGAGGGCCGGGGAGCCCTCGTCTCGAGCTCGCACCGTCACGTTGTATTCCTCCACCTGCTCCCGGTCCAGCGTCTCTGATGTCACCAGTGCGTACGCGTCGGCTGCCAGCACAGTGATCCTGAAGGGTTGCTCTCCTGTCAGCTCGCAGGTCGTCCTGCCATTGTCCCCCGAGTCCCGGTCCCGCACGTTGAAGAGGGCCACCACGGTGTCCGGCGGGGCGGCTTCGGAGAGGGTGCTGGTGAGCGAGGTGATGATCACCTCGGGGGTATTGTCGTTCACGTCCTTCACCTGCACCTCCACATTGCAATGCGTGGACAAGTCCCCTCCATCTGTGGCTTGGACGTCTATCTCATAACTCTTTTTTTCTTCATAATCCAAAGGCTTTTTGAGTCGAATCTGGCCTGTCTCTGGGTTTATTTTAAACGTTTGGAGATTTTCCTCTGGATTTTGAACTATGGAATACACTATTTCCCCATTCGTTCCTGCGTCTAAATCGCTAGCAGACACTACCACCACTATGGTGTCTTCTGAGCTATTTTCCATTACAGAGACTTTATACAGAGTCTGGGTAAATACCGGGCTGTTGTCGTTTATATCCAGGACTACCACGCGGATTAAAGCTGTGCCAGACCGCGGTGGATTCCCACCATCTACAGCCGTGATGCTGAAAGCAACTTCTGCCTGCTGCTCCCTGTCCAGAGCTCGATCCAACACCAGCTCGGCATACTTCCTGCCGTCACTTCGCCGCCGGGTATAGACAAGGAAATACTCGTTCGAGCTGATACTATAATGCTGAAGGCTGTTGTTCCCCACGTCTGGATCGTGAGCTCTTTCCAATAAAAATCGAGTCCCGAGAGTTGCAGATTCCGGGATCTTTAAAACAATCTCTTTGTTTAAGAACACAGGAGCATGATCATTTATGTCGATGAGTCTTACCTCAGCTCGGAAGGACTGCAGTGGGCTCTCCAGCAGCACCTCAAAACGCACCAAGCAGGGCTCGCTCTGTCCACACAGCTCTTCCCGGTCCATTTGCTCTCTCACCACCAAATCCCCGGTGTGCTGGTTCAGCTGTAAATACTGCTTTTCTCCTTCAGGAACGACTCGAGCCCGACGAGCCAATAATTCCTCACCGGTTAGTCCCAAATCCTTTGCGATATTCGCCACAAAAGAGCCTCTCTCCGCCTCTTCGGGCACAGAGTACCGAGCGGTTTCTGCTCTCATCCCCGAGACGCAGAGGACAAGCAGCAGAGCCGCCGCTCGCCCCGGGAGCTGTTCCTCGCTCTTCCTCGGCTTCATTCCCTCCCAGAGACCCGGTCTCCCCTCCTGTAAGCTGGATGGAGCTGCCGATACAGCCTGCCGACCCCCGAGCGGAGCAGCCCGAGATGGTGCAGCCCCGCCCGCCCGAACCGCGGGGCCGGCGGAACTCGGAGCTGCGCGGAGCTTCCGCGGTCAGCAGCGGCACCAGGCGGCCGAGCTGGGGAAGGATTCGAAGATTTCCCAGCCCAAAGCCTGGAAAGCAGAGATTAACGGCTCGTTTTCTCCCTTCCTAGGTCAAAGCATAGAGATTGAAATGTCCATACAACCGTATTCAAAGTGTGGCCACTGGCTCAATGAGCAATGCCTCTTTTTACCTTCTGCTTCAAAATGGAGTTTATTTAAAGCTGGGTCGTTCCTTTTGTTTTGGTTCCCCCTCACTTTCCCCAGTATGAACGCTTTGAATAAATGACTTTCCGGCCGTTTAGCTAGAAAAGCTGTGTATTGTTACAGGGGTCCAGCAACCAGGTAAGATGGTCTTTTGACCACAGCAGCATTCGCCATGGTCGTTCTCGGAATGGACAGAGATTGTTCCCACAGTTCATGACCTCTCCTGCTGGGAGCCTTTGGGAATGGGCTGGAGGCAGCATCGCAGACCTCAGCTCCACTCAGAAAAAAAAACTCGTCCACCTTGCTCCGACTTCTGAGACGGCCCTATTTCCCAGGTCGTTCTGATTTCCCCTGCATTAATTCCATTCCAGATGCAGGGATTTATTCCCGAAATCCTGCTCTTGAGTTGACTTTTTCCTCGGCCATGACTGTGGCAAGTGATCTCGAGACAGCACACTCACCCGAGGGAGTTCCAAGTAAATTTTATTGCTTTCTGTCATTACTCATTTGACTCTTTAAAATGGCTCAACAACAGGAATTATCACATAACTTTATAATTCAATACCGACTGACGAAAGAAAACCATAAAGCTTCTTGACACCCTATATTCTACAGTGTCCTAAGCTAATTGGAAATGGTTTCGTCTATTTTACTGAAAACCCACAAATAATACTTTTAATCATCTTGGTTTTTAAAAAACGTGAAATAGTGTTTTCAACTTTATGAAAAAAAAAAAAAGAAAGGAAGAAACAATACACTGTTCAAAGCCCACTCTTTATAATTAGGAGAGCCTGTAAACTCCTGGTGAAATATGCCAAGTGTGCCAATGCCAGCAGTTCAAAATGTAAACAGCTTCTGCTTATTTTGTAAGAAATTCCTTTGCAAGCACCACTTAATTTTACATATTATCTGTTTCGCCTGGTGTTGAATACATGGCAGAAAATTAAGATATTATTACAAAGCTCTCTCCATAAAAAGAAAGAAACAAACAAAGCACGAAAGGAAATCCCCCAGAGAAGGTGGTGTAAAAAGAAGTTGAAAATCTGCTGCCAGTTTTCAGTATTTCTCGAAGTATGTAGAAGCAGTAGCACTCTCCCCATCATACATTATTATGTATGATAATTACTGATTACTATGATAATAATTGATTATTATGTAATCAACATGCAGCACGGTTCTCCTCCATCGACAGCACAATTACAAAATAGCTACATGAATAAAGTACTGCACAAGGGGAAAGTACTCTCATTGAGCAGGTTTCATCTCCCTGGTACTTTTTAGGGAGGTGCTTGGTCTCTTTTTTCCCTTTTCCCTGTGAGGACAGACAAACTTGTCTGTCTCTTCACTTATTGATGGGCGAGCCAAGGGTTTTGCTCAGAACTGACATTGGGCTCCAGCTCCCTGTTTGCAGGGCAAACTGCACCTGCAGCTCTGGGCCCCGTATCTTCAGAGATGGGAGCACTGCCCTGCAAAGAACAGAGAGA